TCTTTATACATAGTTCTTTGAATGTATCCTGGCACATATTTAAAGAGACATTCCTGCCAGGCGTGGTGGCACACGCCTGTAATCCCAGCACTTGGGAGGCTGAGGCAGGAGGATTGTTGCAAGTTCAAGACCAGCCTGGGCTACAAAGTGAGCTCAAGGCCAGCCTGGACTGCATAGTGAGACCCTGTTTCAAAAAGACAAAAAAAATAATGTTTTCACAGAATGTATCACTTAGAGAATCACAAAGATGGAGCTTGTAGTTGTCCTGTGTAGTGGCTGATATATTCTGTCAACTTGAGAAGTTTAGAAGCTTAACTAAGTAACTCAGCAGTTGTACATCCCGGGGTGTAGAGGACATGCCCTAGGGCGGCTGTTTATTACAGGATGTTGTAATGGTTTATTCATTGTGTCAACTTGAGAAGCTTAAAAGTTTAACTGAGCAACTTAGCAGGGGGCCAGGATCCTCACTTTGTAAACATCCTAAGCCTGTGCAGGAGGAGCGCACAGAGATGGTGTGAGCGCTATATCCACCCTAGGGCAGGTAGCCTACATACACTCTAAAGGAGGAAAAGACGCTTGCTTCTCCCCTTTCTGCTCTTGTTGCTTTTGCTGTCTTCTGCTGCTGTGAATTGTTGCCATGCCAATGCTGCCCTGCCTTGAAACCAGCTGATTACGGACTGAAACCTCCACAAACTCTGAGCTAAATAAACCTTTCCTCCTTTAACTTTGGGTGTTGTGTGTGTTGTCCCAGCAGTGAGAGAAAAGTAACTAACTCATCCTGCCTCCAAAGACTCTCAAAGAATGCCAGGGGCTGAGGCTTAGGATGCAGTAGTAACATGTGAGTAAAGGTGAGCTTTAGGTACAAAAAAGGACAACAGAACAAATGCCTGACTGAATTCCGGCTCTGCAGCTGGCGGCTCTGAGGCAGTGGGCAAACTGCTGAAACCCTCTTGAGTCCCCCAGGCCAGGTCCCCATAGGGAGGCAGCAGTGAGGATGTAAGTTTCTCAGGGTTCTACATGAGTGGGTGAGATAATGCATACATGCTTAGCACCCTGATCACCACATCCTAAGCACCCAGGGAATCCGTGGGAGTTATGATAGGTGATTGCTAGCAGTGCCAGATGGCTGCAGTGCCCCTGTAAGGGAAGGAGAGAGTGCACGTTGTTGGTAGAGGCAGGAATTGCCCAAATAAATGGCCCTTTCAGAAATCCAAATAAATTCCACTTTCAGAAACGTTAAAGAACAAATCTGTATTCATATTTTCATATCCAGGGAAAAATTTGAGATCAAGAACTTTGGCTAGAAGACCCCTTCTTTTTGTCTAACCATTACCATTCCAAATTACCTTCTTTCCCCCTCCAGATAGTAAATTTCACAGGTTTTTTATTAAACTTACTTGTTTTAATGTATTCAACAAAACCCCCTCTGATTTCTTAGCTGTTTCCTCATTTGGGCCTTTTATTGGTCCTAAATTAAGCTCACAGTCTTTCATTAAACCCAAGAATGTTACCCCACCAAGCTTTTCTTATAAAACTAATAGTGCAAAGAGCGAGCCAAACAGAGGATTAAACAAAATAGAAATGTGAAAAATAGTTTGGAGGAGGAAGGCACTTTTCAAGTGCAAGGTATTATTATACTGACAAATTGTAAGTCTGAAATGTATATATTTCCACCTACCACCTGCGGGATTTCAAATTCATCTACCTGGTCTGTGGATACTTGAATACAGCCCTCGGCCCCCTCACTTTATAAAAATATACTAGCAGTTCAAATCCTTGATTTCTTGACATATAGCTGAATTAATATGTCTGAGAATTAGGTTCTATTTAAGGCATGACAGATGTCTTAGATGTTCCTTACAATTATTTTGGAATCCTGCAGGAACTTGAGAATTATTGCAAAGTGATATATCCACAGGTATTAACTGCAATGCTAGGCTTTCATAGGAGCCTGTTTTCTTGGACCTGAAATATGGTTATTTGGAAAAGACACTCTTTTTATTTTATTGTAAGTTAACGCCTGGAAAGAAAATGGTCTTTTGAGAAATGAATTAGGTAAAGAATTTATTTTGAAAAAAAAGACTGAACTGAGAGTCTCTTTGCCAGGGGATACTACATACAGTATGTTATCTGGACAAAAACTAAAGAAAGACTGCACACTCACACACAGGAGGGACGGCTGGGAATGCAAACGAGTGGGTGGCACTGGTGTGGCAATGGGGACTCCTGGGGATGTCGGTAAACTGGACAACCCACGTCTTTCTTTCTTTTTTGTTTTTTTCGGATACCGGGAATTGAACTCATGATCTCGTGCTTGCCAGGCAGGTGCTGTGCCGCTGAGCTAAATCCCCAGCCCCACATCTTTCATATAAGTGAATTAATCACAATGTTGGTATCACATTTTAAGAAACACACAAAATAGACAATATTTAGGATATGTGGAATTTTAGAGGAAATCTCGACAATCCCACGTGTTTTGGGGCAGTGTTTAAACATTAAAAAGAAAGAATAACCTTCATGTTCTCAGGGGCAGCAGGCCACAAGAGCCATGGACACAATAAGACACTTCACTTTGAATCCACTGAGGATTTCTTGGGAAGAATGAGCTCACCTTCCTTTATTCTATGATGAGTCAATTCCAGAAGACTCTTTTTTCTGAGACAGGGTCTCACAATGTAAGTTCAGGCTGGCATTGAATTCACTATATAGCCCAGGCTGGCCTTGAACTCACAAGGATCCTCCTGACTCAGCCTCCCAAGTGCTGGGATTACAGTTGTGAGCCACCATGCCCAGCCAGAGGACTCTTTTTGTCCATTTTTTTTTTTTTAACCTCAACCCTTCAGACTTAATTCAGTTTCTGTTACTAGCAAGTAGCAGCTTTGGGGGATCAACTTAAATGACGAAGAGCTTGATCTAAGTTTAAGAATTTGTTGGAGACAGATGCAGTGAGTGGTTTAGAGGACTTTGCATATTTTACTTGGAGTTTCTTGTATTTCACCTTCTTTTAAGTAAAGTGAGCTACATGTGGGTTATTTGGAAGAAGCGTTCATATTTCTCCCATATTTCTCAACTCTATGTACAAAGAGGATGCCGGATCGCCCTCAGTATTATGATGAACTATTGCAGGATTCAATTTGTCATTGAGATGAGTTACCAGACACAGGCTCAGTGTTCTTTTTTTTCTCCCCCCTCTGGCATCATGGAAAAATTGGTTTAAAAAGTGCCAAATTGCACAGCAAAAGGCCAGCGACACAGATGAGGGCTCAGCCATTCAGACCTCCTACTACTTTGTTTTTTCTTTAATGTCTTTTACGCCTTGAGAATCCAACAGGAAAAGAAAATAATTCCTGCCAACAACTTCTAACAGAATTATTTTTAATACGTCTCGACTCCTACTGGCAAGGGTTTTGTTTTGTTTTGTGGACTAGAAAGAACCCTTTTAACAGGCTGATCTTGTGAAATGAGAGAATGGCTTTCTCCAAGGATTAAACTCCCCAATATTCCTAAATAGAAAGGCATACTATAATGAAATTCTTGTTTTTCATTAAAAGAGAATTAAATCAATGGCCTTGAACCTGAGTTTTTATTTTTTTTGTCATCCAACTGATTTAGGTTTAGTTGCACTGTATTATCTAAGTTCCTGGTTATGTAATTCTTTAATGTACATCACTCATTGTAGGCATCAAAAGACTCCTGTCCACACTCTTTCCATGCTATGCAAATTGAAAGCATGGAAAACTCACCACACTGTGTATACATTTGCTATAAGAATATTATGTTGTAGCTGGGCTTGGGGGCCCACACCTGTAATCCCAGCACTCGGGAGGCTGAGGCAGGAGGATCGTTGTGAGTTTGAGACCAGCCTGGGCTACAAAGTGAGCTCAAGGCTGGCCTGAACTGCAGAGTGAGACCATGTCTCAAAAAAGGCAAAAAAATAATATTATGTTGTCATGTCCTTTGAATGATCTATGTCAGCTTTGTCTGACTATGCATTGCTCATATGTCACCTTTGGAATTTCTGTCACCTCTATAATTGGAGCCATAAAGTGGCTTATGCTCTTTACATAAATACAAGTATTTTCAAAGAAAGGTCTTATCATTCTCATATTGGGAAAAGCAGCACCCTTTGCCCCCAGCAGGAAGAGACTTTTAAAATAACAATAATACAAACTACTACCTAGGGCTAGGGGGATGCTCCTGGCTGCCAGAACTTAGGACCCAAGCCTGCCTCTTTCTTCTACTACAAAAAGAATTATCCAGGGTTAAACAAGAGTTAAAGAATATTAGTAATCAGCTGAGACTTCCTCTATGGCTGAATTACCAAGAGGGAAGGTATTCCTCAGAGCACAATTCATATCCCATTCATGGTCTATGTAGATCGCCTAAAACTGCATCTCACACGCCCGTGGCATCGTCTTTTGCTCTCAGAGACTGAGCTAACTGCTTTCCTTCCCCGTACCGGAAGAAAGTGGCTTACCCCTTGTCTGAACAACGCCATCAGGGAGATCCTCCGGGGCTTGCCTTCTTCTCTTTTGCGCTTTACTTCTGCAGGTTCGGGTGGGGCGTCTGTTTCTTCACTGAGATCCACTGTGTGCAAGGTTGACTCTACTTCCTCAGACTTTACAGTTTCTACTGGTGATTCACACACCACCTGGATTGTTTTGCCAGGTATTAAGAAAATGAAAGGAAAAAAACCAAACCAAAACAAAACAAAAACCCCAGATCCACTGCCCCAGAATGTGTTTTATACAAAGGGAGTCCTGGCCGTCCCCGTCCACATGACAGATGCAGGATCGACTCTTGGGATCGTTTCTACACAGCTACATCTTTGAGTAGCAGCACACATATTGGATCATGAGCTCCAAGCGGCCAATTTCTGAACAACGGAAAGACAGACTGACATGGAAAGGGCAGATTCCTTCTCCAGGGAGGTACAGGGAGGTGGTCTCCTTTGGACACTGCCCTTCCACTCTCGAGGGCCAACTCTGGTCTAGCACTCAGGCACACTTCACCTGACATGCATAGGGATCAGGAATAACCATTTTCCTGCGTTCAACCTTAGAGACAGTGACCATGACACTTTCCATTCCTCATGCTAGGCCCCTGTGAACCATGGAGAAACTGTCCTCTGCCGAAAGGAGTGTGCAAAAGCCACTGGGTTTACTACAGCTGACTTCCTTATCAACTCCTGTCCCTATTCACCGGGCACTTGCCATTGTTACTGAGCGGACATTCGCACTTTCAGAAGAATGAACTTGACCCCAAGGCTATGTGGTGCCATGGTTATGTTTCTTGCAAGCCACTTGCGAACTCAATGCCGTCTGAGCACCCCGGGAGGCGAGGGGCGGGCCAGCGTCTGGGGCTTGGACGGAGGCTCCCCTCACCCACACTCTGACGCCAGCGTTGTTCTCAGGCATGGCCCCACGCCGTTTGTGTGGGCCTGGTCACTACCGGGACAGTTTCTGCGTTTGTATCGGTCCCTCCGGCCGGTACTGGCTAGGAGAGAGTTTTCCAGTTTCCTTTGTTTCCTCCGGCAGCCTTGGCAAACTGCTCCCAAACCCAGCCCTGTGCCTTGCTTCACTTGGCTCCTGAGCTACAAATGGTTTTCACGTTTCCAAAGGGTTATAAATTTTATTTTTAAAGATGATAAGTATGGAATGGAGACAGAAATGGCCTACAAAAGCCTAAAGTCTTTACTCTCTGGCCCCAGGTTTTCCATTCCCTGCCGCTAATGAGGGAGCTACGGAGCCACAGGGGTCTTCGTGTTTGTCTCTGCGCCGTGGTGCCAGACTCCAGCTTTCTCGGAGCCTGTTCTCAATGTCAGGGGTAGAGGAAGGGGATTTAGTTATTTCCAGAATGCTTGTGGATGTGCCACTTTGCTTTCCTTCCTGCAGAGTACACCAGTGGTTTCCAAATGGCCCAGGTTTCCCAAAAGAAGAGCCCTTCATCTCCAGATTGTTAGCTGGCACTGACAGGTACCCATCAACAAACTAACGTGCAAAACATCCCACAGCTGGGCGGGTGAATCACAGCGGAATCCTTGCCTTACATTTCTTATGGGATCGACATGAGTTCTTGTGCTTTTCCTTTGTCATCAGAGACCTAAACTGGGTAGTTAAAAATTCAATATTCCTTAGGAGGCAAAGCAGGGGGCGTCAGCATGGATTGACCAGATCTAAGAGAAAAACAAGTCAGGTAAGAACTATCATGAACGGCAGTCAAGCCGTCCCATGTAAAGAACTTGAACAGAAACACGGAATTGGCCGAACAAACCATGTTTGTGGGTAAGCCCCGCCAGCCGGGCTTTGAGATGACCCGAGTCCAGCTTTGGGCAGCCAGGATCAGACTGGAGCCATGTAAGAGACTAGGACTGGTGGTCACTGTGGATTTCCGGGTCTAGGCCTGGGTTAATTCAGCTGCATTTCTGGGAAATGCGCACAGACCACAAGAGCCCTTGGGTTAAGCCTGAGATGCCGGCTGCTATTGCACACATGCTCTAGAGCAAGTGACGGGGTCTACATCCTGTCTTTATTCTCGAGGGGGCTTGAGTTAAAATTAGTGCGAAGTACCCCCATGCTTTTGTACGTATATCAGAAAGCCGTTCTGAGGACTGGGTTACGTAATGCACATCAGGTTCTTAGTATAGCACCTGACATGTGATATACAGTTAATACCAGTGGCTGTTATTGTGTTATTAGCCTTAATTACTGCATGAGCACGAATGATCTGGAATCGCCCATCACACAAATCCATTAGTTAGACGGTTCTCTTAATAACTACCTCTTACTGTACCTGGGACCGCACAAGGTAATCTATAGGTAACCTCAGGAAACAGTCATAAACACAGCTCAGGAAAGACAACATTATTCCCATTTTACAAGCAGAGAAGGTGAATGGTGGAAGAACTTGGGGCAAAGCCACAGCCCAGGGGGAGGAGCGAGCCATTTCAAGGAGGACAGTGTTCTCTGATAAGAACTGAATACTTCCTTGTAGATTGTCCAGTGAGGACGTGGGACAAGATGTTGAAAGCAGGATATTCTGGGATTTTTTTCAGTGGTTTTAAAATGTGTGTAAGAGCTTGAGATCTTTCTGTTTTGGCTCTGCCATCCTTAGCATCATCTTTTTACTTATTACTTCATGATCATAAAATAGCTGCCATAGTTCCAGGCATCATATCCTCAACTCAATGTCCTGAAACCGATGGAAGATCACAGCAAAAGATTCACTTCAAATAAACAACTTCTGGATTTTGATTCCCTACTTTAGGGAATTTCCCTGGTCATAGCCAGGTCATATCTTTATTCCTAGATTGATTAATGGTGAAGAAAATGTGATTTCTGGTTTAGACCAATCATGATCAAATACTTTGGAGATGATAGTTATCAACCTTGCCCATAATCAAAGGAAGAAGAAGGGTGGAAGAATGAGAGATGGCTCTTAAGTAGGTAATGAGCAGATTTTGACTTACTGACCTGCCTTAAGAACTATTCTGACCCTAAAGCAGCATGTTCCTTTGTGTTCAAGGATCTTGGAGGGAAAAATGACACCTATAATAAAATGATCAGATTGTATGACAAGAACTTTGTAAACTAACCTTGTTTGAATGACAGTAACTTCCTTGCTAGGTCTTTCTGAGTGTTGAGAGGTGTCAACTCATAAATTTTAGGCCACAAGTCCATTCTCCAAAACACAACTATTTCAGAAAGCAAAATAAATTGGGCTTCTGGCTACTTCCATCAGCTTTGAAGCCAGGCCAAGAACTTGGCTTTCAGTAGCCAAGGAAAATCCACTGACATCCGATGTGGAAACCCAGAACAATCTGGACTAAGTAAGCATCTAATTTGCATGCGAAGACATAAGAATTCAATTTTTACTTGGATTTCCTTCCAGGCTACAGCCTTGGAAAAAGTCGTTCCCTATTTAGAATATATGACTGCATCTGCACAATTTACTTTTGGGTTTGGTGGATATAATTAAAATCAGATTTGTGCCACATTGTTATTTTGTGCTGTAGTGTAGAAGGAAATCTCCCTTATGGTACACACTCCGCAAAGATGGGTGGATGTTTAACACAGACGATATATAGCTCAGTAAAGGTGTTTTACTCACTGCCTCAAGTTTTATCCCATATTTTTTCTTAAATGTGTTTTGTACAGTTTTTACTTGGGCTGTGAATTTTGAAAACTAATTGAGAGCAAAATGAATATCTTCCACTTAAACTTCCCCCACAACATAATAGTATCGATATTTAAGTTTTTAAAATAATGTGATTGTGTGATTTTACCCAGGCTTAGATATTTTCTTTGCCATCCAGTAATGATTCTCGCCCACGGGCTCACAGAATTCACATTTTGCTTTGGGGACACAATCGCCCCTCATTTTAAGGCTATGTGATTTGGGTGAAGCTGACTGCAAAAGTTTGAGGCAGCCAGTGTGATTTAGCTCCTTGAGTGTGCGGGGCTGGGGATGGCAGCGTGTCGCAGAATGTGTTATCTTCCTGATTATTCCTCCTTCCCGCCTGGGAAGGAATCGCACGTCTGTGCTCACGGCCGTGTGACCTGCTGTAGTGCCTGAAATGGAAGTCAATAGGATGTGAACCACATGTGGGTAGAAGCTTTAGGAGCTACTGAGCGCTCGGCCATGGCAGTGTTTTCTCTCTGCTACTAGAACTGCAAATCCTTGTTAAGAGCCTGCTTCTTGATTCCAGGTTTCCGCTAAAAGGGGTCACATGATGCAGTTACAGCCAACATACAGCTAACTTATAGCATACATGAGAGAAAAATAGAGAGAAATCTTTGGTGCCTCAAGGCACTGAAATTTGGGGCTTGGTTGTTATTGCAACACACCTCGGCACAAGCTGACTAACGGAGCGATGAACAGATTTGAGCCAATAGAGGAGAACAAGTTCCCGGGCATCTACAGTTGCAGTGGACAAATTTCTCCTTTTCTCTGGACTGGGTGATGTTGGAGAGCTGAAAACATGGCCAGGGCAGGAAGACTCAGCCAAGGGAAAGGTATGAATCCAGCTTTATTTGAAACCAATTCTATTTTCTGGGGATGAGAGCCAATACCTTCTTTTTGCTTTTTCATCTGGGTTGAGCTGAGTTTTCTTTCCCTTGCAATGAAAAGGTCACTTACCAAAAGAGGTAAGCTATAGAAGTCCCTGCTTCCCTGATTTCCTAGGTAATTGGAAAGGAAAATGTCTCCATTATTTAGAACACTAAAATTCAATTAGCTAATGGCAAAAACGTTTTCAGACTACAAATGAAAGGTTCAATAATTGGTAGAGTCAAGCGAGATAGATTTTGGATCTGGTAGCATCAGGAACATATTCTTGGAAAAGCAATAAACTTCAATGGGCCGTAAAACCTGTCTTTTTCTTTCCCCATGAAAACTCTGGGAAATGTGAAAATCATCCCGACCTTTGCTTTGAAAATTACAAGCAGGGCTCACATCAACTGGCAGGTTGATTTTGGAAACCTGAGGGTAGACGAGCTTGCATAAGGCCATCACATTTGTTCTGCGAGCCCTCTTCCATGAATCAGATTCAAATAATTCCCCACCAAAAGTTAAAAAAGTAAACTCAACCATATTTTAGCCAGAAATCAGTGAGTGGTTAATCAGTAAAGTAATGTGGTTAATCATAGACAATTGTCCAGTTGTGAAGGTGTAGAGTACTGCAGTATTTTTTTTTTTTTGCTTTGTTTTGTTTTGTTTTGCTTTTTTTTTTTTTTTTGAGACAGGGTCTCACTATGTAGTTCAAACTGGTTTTGGGCTCACTTGGTAGCCCAGGTTGGTCTTGAACTTACAATGATCCCCCTGCCTCAGCCTCCCGAGTACTGGGATTACAGGAGTGTGCCACCATGCCCGGCTTACAGTATGTTGTTTTGATCTAGGTCTTCTCTCTTATTTTATTGAGGGAAGGAAGTTAACTGACTCTGTTTTACATATTCCTTTCCTCTACAAGGACAGTGAGTATGCTGAGAAACATAAGATTTTACTATGGTATCTGATTTTGATGACCGGGAAGCACTCCCTCGGAATGTTACCTCCTACCTGCCAGCAATTGCTGTAAGGGGCAGCCAGCTCTGCCTGCAGAAGGTCCTGCTGGTCATATGACCTCAGTAACAAGCCCTGAACCCCACTGTCCTCACAACAAAGCAGCTATGGCTGATATGTAATGGAATGGGTGTGGCTGTGTTCTAATAAAACCTTATTTGCAAACACGGAAATTTGAACGTTATATAATTTTCACATCATAAAATGTCATGCTTCCCATCCATTCAAAAATATAAAAACCATTCTTAACTCCATAAACCATACAAATACAGGAAGTGGGCTGGATTTGGTCCGTGAACTGTAGTCTGTTGACTTCTAGCTTCCTGAGTTCTTTCTATGACTCAGGCACAGAAGTACCATAAATGAATTACAAGTATTACCTCGTCCAATTCTACCAAGAACCACCAGGTGTAGATACTATTATTATCCCCACTTAATAGATGGGTAAACTGAGGCACAAGAGGTGCTGCAACCTGGAGATGATGAGGTCAGCATCACAACTATTTTGCCTCATTCTGCCCAAGTGTGGGGGATCGAAAGATGAAATATTGAGACTTAGAAATAGAAGTGTAATCTGTGGTGTTAAGCAATTTACAAAAATGTTTCTGATTCTTCTTTATTTCCTTAAAACATATTTTGTCTTCTTTCATATCCCTATTAGCTTTGGTGTTGTCTTTTATTATTAATAATTACCTCTTCATTCATGCTTGTATTTCTGTCTTAAGCTTCATGTTAGAAAATGAAACGCCTTCTGTTTTCCTACTTCAGAGCAATTCTACATTTTAGCATCTGAACCACAGAAAACACAGGATTCCTCAGACAAGCAGCTATACTAGACACCCCAAGAGAAGTTTCTCTTCAGAAAACTGAGAATCTCAAAGCTCACTGATGCTCAAGATTTCACCTGCAGCTATAAAGGTGACGGCAGGAAGCCTTGTGGGATTGCTCCATGCAGGTCCCTGAAGGTCTTGAGACTTTCATTCTCTAGAGCAGTGATGGTGAATGAACCTTTTAGAGGCCGAGTGCCCAAGCTGAAACCCAAAACCACTGCAAAGTGCCAGCACTGCAACTAAACCAGAATGCTGAGGTTTTAGTTTAGAAAAAAAACAACTCATGTATTAACATCTTTTGTCTTAAAAGAAAAACAAACAATACATGTGCCATGGGTTCACCATCCCTGCTCTTGGGGCATAATCATGAGGGACCTGTACTTACCTGAGCTACTAAGTTTGGTTCAAGAAAGAAAGGAAGAAAAGAATGGAGGGAAGGAATGGAAAACAACAAAAGTAACATATAGATTTTAAAGATTTAAGAGAATCATAACAAAACCATTCTTATTTTCATTCCGTATTATGGGTAACATTTCTGGAATGTGTTTGGATTTTCAACATCTGTTCAGTTCCAGTAACTAAGTAAAAATGAAAACACACACCCTGACCCTGGCAAGTAAACAAGACACCAGAAAGTTCCAAACATCTTTTGCTTTGGCAAAATGATCACGCTCCATTTCTCTGTTGAGAAGCTGTGAATTCACTTATCCCCATTTACACAATTTTCCAAAGACTGCTCTTCTTTCTGAGCTGAGAACTGCTGTTTTGGGTCTGAAATGCCTAAGGTCCATTTATTAATAGTCTCCCTGGAAAATGTTTCTAAAAAAGACGCAAGATTGCAGCGTCATGAATGCACCATCTTGAAAATTCTGACCATCTTTCTAGAAGATGAAAGACCCTAAGTGTCTGGTCTTTAATCAGAACCAGAGAGGTAAAGCTAACTGTGGAGTCAACTCTCCAGCCGAGCCCAACAGTCTCAGCCCCTCCTGCCGCAAGGTGCTGTGATGTAGCTACCCGCCCTGAGCACCACCCAAGTTAGTAGGAACCGGGGTCACCATGGAAATAAAGGTGAAGGAGCAATCATGGCCCGAGGAACAGCATCGATTTCACTTAAGGAAGTACAAAGTCATTCTTCTGTGTAGTAGACTCTTGCAGCCCCTAAACGATAACAAATTTTTAAAATATGTGCTCTGATTTTGCATGTAATTTGCATTAACTCAGTGGGAGTAATAGCATTTCATCCAGCGTCATTCTCAATTGATCACTACTCCAGGAGAGGGTGAAAGAGTCTACAGCAGATTAATGACACCAGGAACATGCAAGAACGGAGGATCTCAGAGTTGAAATGCCCAATGATCCCACATGCCAAAGATGAGGATGGAATGATTCTGTCACTGAATGTGTCACTTACATTCTCCTCGGCACCTGCGGGGACTGACTTCTCTTTAACTGACTAAAGGAAGATAAAAACAAAAGCCAGAGTCAAGATGTAACCAAAGAAAACACAAATCCATAAGAAATTGACGCGAAACTGAAGGGTTATCTGGCCAGCAGCCCAGTGGTGCAGTTCTGGAACACTATGTAGACCTTGTCCCAAAGAGAATGCCAAGGAGGCGTACACAGCTGTAAACAGTACCACATGATAACGTAAGTCATGTATTTTCAAAGCAACAAAGGGAAAATAAACACAGATGTAGCCAGGATACAAATGAAGCATAGAGCTGCTACCAGAAGAACAAACCAGGAAGTTCTGGCTGTGGGTAAGCAACACCTCTACTTTTACATTTTCCAGTAGCTGATGAAAAGAGGGAAATATTATGAACTGCTCATTACACAGATGAATAAGCAGCTCAGGGAAGTCTGGTAGTAGATCCAGAGGAATTTCTCCATGGTCGTTACGGGACATGCGGCACCGTCCTCCATAAGTAGGGTCACCGCCACTGCACCAGAGTCTGCTTCTTACATCAAACTGCAGTCTAGGCCATTTTCATTGTGTCCAAATTCAAGCTGGCTAACCTGCTCTAGGAAGGGCCAGAAGGCTAGGGTCCAGTGCATCCAATCCCAACTACTGTTTACGCCCTGGAATCATTCTGGAATGCACAAACAAGAGACCAACAACCCCTTCCACAAATGTCCATGCCATCATCTTGTCATCTATTAGCTCCAACCTGGGAGGTCATCTGCATCTTTCCTTCAGTAATTCTTAAGCTCTTTTAGGGGAGGTGTTGGTAGTTATAGACAATTTGAGACTCATTTAATAGGTCTGAATTCTTCTCCCATTCACACAATACTTTGCAAATTATTTTAGCATGTTTGTGGGTGTTCTGCACCTCTTCTCTTGGATTCCAGGTGAAAACTCTCACGCCCTGTATGCATTTTGGTACAATGGCCTGCCTTGTCTTTTCTTTAAGACATCCATTGGGAGGAGGACAAGAAGAGTGACATTTATAAATGTAGATTTTCCACTAGGCACTTTGCATTCCATATCTCTCTTAAAGTTCCCCCAGATAACAAGTACATCGAGCTCTATATACACTGTAGGTGACAGAGCTACACAGGAGGAAGGTCACGGATGCAGGTTAAACAGCTAGAAAGGGGAAGAAATGGCTGTAAGAGCCGAGGCTCTCCCCTGCCAACATGATTGTAGAGATCAAAATATGTTCTCCGGGGACTGTGTGAGCCTCTTTCTCCACTACCAGACACACTGCCTCTCTACATGAGATCTTCACTTAGACCGCTTATTCTGTTTACTTTCTTCCCATACTGACATTTTCCTGGGCACAAGAGTGTCCCTGGAAAGGACTGTAGCATTTCTGATTGCCCCAAAATGGTAATGCATCCAGGAATTCTCGGGTAGTCTTGCTTTGTTGGAACTACAACTCTTCTCTCTGAGACAGTCAGATGTTACTTAACACTATACACAGGAAAATAATTAAATAATATTTAATTTAATGTAATTTATTTAATTTTATTTTTTAGTAGTAGGGATTGAACCCAGGACTTTCTCATTTAGCTTTTTTTTTTTTTTTCCCTTTAACAGAGTTGCTAAGTTGGCCAGGTTGGGCTTGAATTTGCAATCCTCCTGCCTCAGCCTCAGCGTGCTAGGATTCCAGGCATGTACCATCTGGCTTCAAACAATATTCAAAAACCAGACTTCCTCAAGGCTGACTTACAAAAGTTTCAGGAGTCAGTATACTGTCTCCACTAGACTGAGAAAACCCTCCCACTCTTTAAAAAAAGGGATCATCTCAGTTATCAAACGCTCCTTCCGGTCCCTGGTGTGGTCAGCCAGATGAGTTTGTGCCTTTGATTTCCTTTCTAGAAAGTTCTTGGCTTGTCATTGCTCGCTGTGTTCTAGAGCTGAAACCCTGGTGCGGGAACATAAAGGAGCAGAAGGTGCTGATGCTCCACAATGATATTCCTTCAATCTTCATTATGCTTTCAGACCACCAGGCCCTCCTGCTGTTTTGAAAAATGGCATTATAGCCTGTTTCAAAAGGAGTTGCTACTTTATATTTTAAAGATCATACTACCCAGGAAAAAAAAAAAACAACCTTTTTTTTTGAGACAGGGTCTTGCTATATCCTTCAGGCTGGCCTTGCACTCCCAGCGATCCTCCTGCCTCAGCCTCCCAAATGCTGGGATCACTGGGTTGCACTACCTCATTCAGCAAAAATGTCTTATTTTGGGTTTTAGCCCAGTTGAGGATCTCTCAAGCATCAGTAATTTTCATAGCATCTCCAATTCTTGGTGTATCCATGTATCCCTGAGTTTACTTGACATTTTCCTTTAAATTGACCATATTCTTCCTTAATATATTTCAACACAAAGCCTGTTATTTTTTTTTTTTTTTTTTGGTTTTTCTCCGGTACCAGGAACTGAACTCACGACCTTGCGCGTGCCAGGCAGGCGCTTTTGCCGCTGAGCTAAATCCCCAGCCCCCTAAGCCTGTTATTATTATAGTAAATGTAAACTGAGATCTTGCTGGATAAAATGTAGTATGTTGGGGCTGGGGATTTAGCTCAGTGGCACAGCGCCTGCCTGGCAAGCGCAAGGTTGTGAGTTTGATACCCAGTACTGGAAAAAAACCAAAAAAGTAGTATGGAACAACAAATACAATGAATAGCAATACGTATGTAACAAGAAAAATGAGAACCTTTACTAAGCTCTAGTAATATCTGTCTTTGTTGAAAAGGGAGGAGCAGCAAACACTAGCACAGTGATAAACACTTATTAGCATCAAGAAGAAACTTGATTCTTAACGTCACTGGGTGAATTGGAGCAGAACGGAAAGTGATGACTTGGTGTTGTGTAACCAATTAAACGTCTTTTTAGAACTGTGTCCAAGGACTGCCCCAAATCGTGTTGAACTTTGTGTACCTTTGCGAACTGGCCGCAGCTGTAGCCTTCATGGGAGCAGCTGCTGAAATGATCATTTCCTGTACAGTTACATTAACATTAAAGATCAGCCATGTTCTGGGCCCTGTTAGCCTTCGGCATGCGTAAGAAGAAATCTATTTGCGAGTGTGGAACACTGGGACTCCAGTCAGGTTCAGGGTTTCGATATGCAACCTGGTTTCCCCTCCCTGAAACTGAGTTCACTTGCCCGAAGGCCGACCGCTGGGCAGTTTACCAATCACAGGGTTATTTTAAGGAACAGATTTTAGAAGAACACATGTAGAAAAAAATCACGGCTCAGGGCAGAGCTGGGATTGACTGAAGTCTGGTGGGGAGGTTCCACCCACAGTAGCCCTCTTTGTATCTGCAGGGAGACCTTTACTTACACAGGAGTTAGAGAACCCAGAAGGAGTGTGTATGAGTGAACTGGTGAAGGGAAGAGCTTGAGTGATATCCATAGTTAGGGTTCAGTTGTTTACAGACGCTTCCAGAAGGCATGGTGTAGGAAGTTGAGCAGAAAGAAAGATTTCAAGAAAGGAAGCTCAGACTTCACTGGTGGGAAGAGAAAATCCAGGTGAATCAGCCACATCCAGTGGCTTTGAGTCAGGTGCTGTGTCTGGAAAAGCCCTCTGTGCCAGTCAGCCGTGTCTGAATGGGCTGTGCGCTAGAGCAGAGGGGTTCTGTGGATGCTGAGCCCTGGGGTTGTGAATCGGTTTGCTCCGGGGCTCGTGCAGCTGCGGTGGGGTCTCCTGCCAGTGCTGATGTAAAGCAGGATGGAGCTTTCTCCCTGGCACTTTGCAAGTGGCAGTGAACTATGACCGGCTTGTGAGGCCCAGCAGCGGTGATAGGTGGGGTGGCTGGCCTGGATCTTTTTGGTGGCTCTGGTGGCAGTGGGATGGCTGATGGTAGCCAAGATGGACTCATGATCTCCATCTTGGGATGGATTCTCGGGACTCTGCAGACAGGATGAGTGGGACCATGGATTTATTCATGCCCACCGGTCCATGAAAATTGGTGATGTTTATTTCATATTTAGCACAGTGCTTGCCCATAGAGTTCAATGAATGGTAGAAACGTCTATGAATACTGGGAAGAGGAGGCATCAGGTAGGTTTATTAAACCCAACCCTCTGTCTCCCTCGGTCCATCTGCTCGGGAAGGTATCTGCAGCCTTGTGCATGCTAGATAAGCGCTCTACCACTGAGCTAAATCCCCAGCCATAGAATTTCTGGATTAATTCTATGTTGCTTTTGAAATGTTTATGAATCAGCTCAGGTCATGTGTATGTTTGCTCCCTAGGCCTTTATTAATATGTTGTAGACAGCTAAGTTAGGTAGGAATATTATAGGCAGTCAGGCAGGGCTGGGCCCTCGAGAGAGTCAAGACAAAAGGTGAAACACACTATAACTGTGGCTAGAGAGAATCAGCTGGACGCCAGACCTCAAGATAACAACAAGAGGACCAGGGCTATGTACTCGCCAAGGGGTGAGATAAGTGACACTTGGTCTAATAAAGTCTAGATAGGCACCAGTGCCCTCAGTGGGCAGCCAGGATCTCGGCTCCATCACCTACCTGGGAAGTTCTTTGTGCTTTCCATGTAAACTTGCTATGTGACTCACTTCCCCATTGGATCAATATTACCTAAGCAGTTATACTTGCAATCTTATTGGTTGATCATAGCTGTAACCCACATTGCACCCATGTGGTTGTGCTCTATTACACTTTCCCTGAGAAGTGGGGTCCTCGGCAGCCTACTTTATGGGCATCCCCTTCTATCCCTCTCAGACAGGAGCTTTGTTTTTTTTCTGGTACCAGGAATCGAACTCATGACCTTGCGCTTGCCAGGCAGGCACTGTGCCAGTGAGCTAAATCCCCAGCCCCCAGACAGGAGCTTTCTATCCCTCAATAAGTATTTTCTACTCTTAACCTCTGTTGTTCTTAGAATTCATTCTTTGATTTTAGAGAACATGAACTTGGTTATCAGACATCTAACAGGTTGGGAGTTGTAATATTGCTTTTATATCATATTTGGAGGTCCTGATATCACCCCTATATC